GGTTTCTCTGTAGCTTTCACACCTCTCCTGGAACTCACTCTATAGCCCAGGCTGGCCTTGAACTCACAGAGATCTGCCTGCCTCTGCCTCCCGAGTACTGGGATTAAAGGCATGTGCCACCAGCGCCCGGCAGTGGGGTTTGCTTTCTTATCGTACCCAGGACCACCAGACTAGGGGCAACGCCACACCTCAATCACTAATTAGGAAATGCCCTACAGGCTTGTCTACAACCTGATCTTATATTTTCTCAGTTGAGATTTCTTCCTCTCAGATGACTCTAGTTTATACCAAGTTGACATTAAAAAAAAAAAAAACTAGCCAGCACACCTACTATGTGCTGGGATTTTTTATGCAGAAGGAATGAACATAGGAAATCTATCTCATCCTTAATGGGGTCAAAAGGACAAAACATTTGGCAATCTCTCTAAACAAACACAAGCTAATATCAAGATGGCATAGATAATAGCCCTTAATGCTTTATGTAGCATATAAAACTGCTCTTCACAAATATGGCCTAGGTTTTGTGAACTTAACCCTTAGATTAGATGCTCTCTGGTCTTGGGTCAGTAAACTGAGGCTGAGATATGGAATGCAACTTGCTCAGAAATGGAATATTGGTTCCTACTGTGCTTACATGGTGTTATATTGTTTCTAAATATAAAGAATTACATTAAGTGACAACACTATATAAGTCCAGAGAAAGGTAACATTTACTCTTGTGTTAGTGGAGATAAGTTATTTTTTCCCACTAGATAGATAGTGGATTACACTGTAGATCCTAATTTTTTACTCTATCATATTGCTTTGGACCTATCCCTTCTCTCCTTCAAGTTTAAGAGAATCTCGAATTTCCCTTCGGCTTTTATTCTTTTGGTGATAAGAGTATTTGGGAAAAGCCTCTTTCTACGTTTAAGACACCTTTCTCTAGGAAGGACATGCCATCAACATTAGACGTGTGGCCCTGGAGAAGGGGGTCTGAGGCAGGAGCATATTTGACGAGTTTGGCCAGAGCCCAGAAAGCTGTCATGAAAAGCTCTCTGTCACCACTTAGGAGCTAGCAAGGCAGAATTCCTCTCCTGCAGCTTCCTGTCACTCCAAAAGACCTGCTTAAAACCAGGAAAATATTTGGAGCCAATAAGAGAAGAAAGATGGTTCACTCCTAAAAGGAATTACTCACATGGCTTAAAAGGCAGGACATCAGATCTGTCACCTGGTTCACCCCCATGGCCTCTACGTGGTCTGGATACTAATCCATGTTGATTGCTGCTAGCAGCAGTGGGTACAGCCATAACAGCATTATCAAGTTTCCAGCTCAAGTTTACGCCCAGCTCTGAAAATAGAAACACTAGTTAGACTGTCTGCCAATTACCACCACCTACTGGGCCCTTTTTGAGAGCAGAATTGGAAGGAACATAGTGGGGAATGACCTATGGTCTTATGGGAAACAGCACACACACACACACACACACACACACACACACACACACACACACACAAACCAGAGACCCATGAATCACTTCTATTCAAGCTACAAAGGGCAGAAATAACTATGTGTATAGTAAGAACCTATGGATGAAATTCAGATGTGGAATGCACAAGTCATGGATGTGATCAAATCACATCTTTGTTCTTTAGGCTCTTACCATGTTTTCAAATATTTTACCTAGGGGTGGGGGTTAGGTTGCTATCTTCCTTGGTTCCTGAATGGAAACTTTACTTTTTGGTTTATTCTTTGCTAATTGATAGTCTTGTACAGAACAGTCCCTTGAAATTAAAAAAAGACGGTGGTCTAGATGACTTTACTTAGTAATTAGAAGGTTTCCCGTCCAAAATGTTAATCAGAGTCTCAAATTCATTCTAAGGTACTGTCAGTCCAAGGCTGCTCTCTCCATCCCCCAGGTGGGGCCCACGGCTGGTGGCTGCCAGTCTTCAGCTTTCTCCTGGACTTTCTACCTCTTGCTCCTTACACACCACCAAAGCTCCCCTCCCCATTGGCCAATGCTATTCCATCTGCTTGTGTAAAAGTGGGAGGAGGCAGGACACCAGAGTCCAGGGGCTGCTCTTTGAAAGGCCAGCACTGTATCTAATAGATGGCAGAAGCTGATTTTTTTTCCTAAAGGAAGCCTTTGACAGTTCTTTGGAGATTCCTATCATCAGAGCCCTCTTAAGTAAATGCATTTGGCCTAAAAAGACATGGAAGTGGTGGCCTACAACCAACTATGCATTTCAGGATTCCTTTATCTATTTCCAACTTCAGGCCATCCGGTTCCTCCATGCCTCTAGACCTCTCTTTGGACAGTAGGCAACTCGGTATTGTCTGTCTTCTTTGTGGCCCACATTTGGTGAGATAAATCCATCTCTGCAGCTGCAGTCTTCTTTTTCTTACGTCAGGCAAAAATGCTGATGTAGTTCTTGACTTTCTAGCAACAGGGAACACTTTTTGAACTCTCCAGTGCCAAAGAAGTTCATTTTTATGCTTGAGGAAAAAGAAGTATTTGGGTGGGCAGACAGAGGGGACTCAACAGCACAGATTTTTCCCTATAAAACTTGTCACAGATCTCTCTCTCCTTCCTATACTCCCTTGGTTTCCTTTTGGGGTAGAATGATTCGTCAACATTGACTTTGTCGATGTGATGGTCCTTAACTGCAATCACAATGATCAAGTTTGCCTTCCAATCCTTCATCAAAAGGAGCCACACTTCATCTCTGCTCCCTGAAAAACTGAGCCTGTAAGAAGAGGTCAGTGAATGTTCTGTAATGGGCAAATCTAAAACTTACTTTTGTTGTGATGCAGGTCTCCAAGACACGTCAAAACAACCTGTATGGGTAGTTTATTTCATCACCTACTGGCAAAATGCAATCATTCATACCTTTATAAAATACCAGTTTTTCCTCATAATTTATAGTCTTTAGTATTTATCAGTCAATAGATTTGGGGAATGAATTGGGTAGGGGGAAACCATCAAGACAAATAATTGAGTCTTCTTGGAAAAAAAAAATCCCCCAAAGCAGCAGAAATTACACACATTTTTTAGTAGTTTGTCTGGAAAAAAAAGAAAAGAAAACCAATAACAAGCTAAATCTTGAAAAATGAACAAGAGAAAAATAAAGTTAGATTTTAAATGTGACAGACAGACAATGTTTTACAAATGGGTGATGGTTATAAAGATTCACTTTACACTGGGCGGTGGTGGCACACGCCTGTAATCCCAGCACTCGGGAGGCAGAGGCAGGTGGATCTCTGTGAGTTCGAGGCCAGCCTGGTCTACAGAGCTAGTCCAGGAAAGGCTCCAAAGCTACAGAGAAACCCTGTCTCGAACACCCCCCCCCCAAAAAAAAAGATTCATTTTACTATTCTTTCTAGTTTTTTCTGTATGTTTGAATATTTTTATAACAAAAGTAATATGTGTAGGCAAGTGTTGCAACTCTGGGGGAAAGATATTCTGACTGTTCAGAGTCAGGTGACACCGGGAGCTGCTAGGACAGCTCTGGAGGCTGGAGCTGCAATGGGACAGCCCAGCTCTGGAGGGGAAGATGTCCTGACTGTTCCTGGAGTTGGGGTGCCGTGGGGGATGGTCTCATCGCAGGATACAGCAATCCTGCTCCTCTCCTAGAGAGTTGCTACAGTTGAGCTTTGCTCAGCCTCCATTTCAGGGGCTTCCCAACAGAGCTTCTTTTGCTTCACTTAGCAAGGTTCTTCTTCTCTGCCCGGATGAATGACGATCTTCACACCCAAGGCTCTTTTGAGAAAGAGATTTATTTGGGAAGGAGTCCAGGAGAGTGGCTGCCTCTACCAGGATGGGAAAGAACAGCTCACAGCTGAACAGGCAGGGTGGTTTATATAGGATCTCTTGGGGGTGGAGTTTCTCCATGGAGAAGATTTTTTTTGTCCAGGGATTGGTTAGTTTTTTCTGCTCAGGGATTGGTTAGTTTTGTGGGTTAGGGACAGAGATGGCCCTGATTTCAGAGTCAAACTGTGTTTCTTTCACTGGCCTTTCTTAGCTTTTTGGTTCTAATTCTAAGGCCAGGGCATATTTCTTTCACTGGCTCTGATTCTAGGGACAAAGTGTATTTCTTTGGCACTGGTTTCAGAGTCAGGACATGTTTCTTTGTTTCTGGGTTTGGGGATAAACTGTTTCTTTCTCTGGCTTAGGTCCCAGATCTTGGATGTGTTTCTTTCACTGGTTCTGGGCTCTAGGGTCAGGCTGGGTTTCTTTAGCCAGCCCCTTTTCCCTATAATATGTTGTAGAATATTATTCTAAGATGTGTTACATTTGTTTATGCTGTGGAACATTTAATAATGCAAAGATGTGTTGCATTCTTTTATGCTGCATTGTTTGTTTAATTCTATGAAGCTGTGTTACAGTGCCTGTCTAAAACATCTGATGGTCTAATTAAGAGCTGAATGGCCAATAGCAAGAAAGAGTAGGTGGGGCTGGCAGAGAATAAATAGAAGGAGAAATCTGGGAGGAAACCGAGAGGGAGCGAGAGGAGGAGGACACAAGGGGTTAGCCACCCAGCTACACAACTAGCAATGGAGTAAAAAAGAAAGATATATGGGGCTGGAAAGATGGCTCAGAGGTTAAGAGCACAGGCTGCTCTTCCAGAGGACCTGAGTTCAATTCCCAGCAACCACATGGTGGCTCACAACCATCTGTAATGAGATCTGGTGCCCACTTCTGGTGTGCAGGCAGAACACTGTATACATAATAAATAAATCATTTTTTTAAAAAATGAGGAGAAAAGAAAATTTAGGCTTGCCTACAGTCCAATCTTAAAAAAAAAAAAGAGAGAGAGAGAGAAAGATATACAGAAATAGAAAAAGGTAAAAGCCCAGAGGCAAAAGGTTGACAGGCTAGTTTAAGAAAAGCTGGCTAGCAACAAGCCAAGCTAAGGCCGGGCATTTAAAATTAAGAATAAGCCTCCATGTGTGGTTTATTTGGGACCTGCGTGGTAGGCCTCCCCAAAAGAGCAAAACAGCCAACTACAATATTAAAACTTAAAACAGAAAAAAAAAACAAACTTAAAACTGAGAATCGTCGTTGTCTTTATCTTCCTTTAGAAAGGAGGCACCAGCAGAAGCAAAAGTGGAACAGATACTATAGACTTTGCAATTTTGTAATGAAGTGCTCGCGGGCTCCATTTTGTAGTACGGTAGCATCACGATAGCCATATACTTATTCTCATTTGGGCAATGGGTAAGCATTTTGGAAGCAAGTCCTTTTGCTCTGGAACTACATAAAAAAGAAATTTCTAAAAATAGAAGGATTTTTAAGTATCATTAGAGCCCACATCGAGGGAGTTAATACTCAGAGAAACTGAGGGAAATAATAAATCACTCTCAGAACCATAGCCCTAGCCTTGTTCTTTATGGTGCATGGCATTGAACCAGGGCTGTCAGGGCCCAGAACCTCCGAAGAGAGGTGGACGCCACCCTCCAGGTTATATAAAGTGCTTTGTCTTGCTGGATCCTCTGACCCCGTCCTCTCTGCCGGGCCCAGGTGGAAACCTGCTTTTGTTGTGTGTGAATTCTCAAGAGAGAGAGCGGTGGTTCAAATACCCTGGGTTAATCAGATCAAGAGTAGAGAGGCAGTCACCAGCCCCTCACTGGGTCAGGTATGGGACGCTTGTACTCTGAAATGGATGGTGCAAAGCAGAAGAGCGGTGTGAGGACGAGGTGTCCAGGACCGTGTTTTGGACGCGGACACAGGGAGGCCGCCGGTGGGACGGTCCTACACTGGCCGGGTCTGCGCAGACGCAGCCTTATAGACTAGGCTTGAAAGCCGAGATCCGTGTTTCTTTCCCACCATGGGGCCAGGACGGGGCCCAAGGCTGGGGCGAGTTTGAGACTGCGCCTGCACCCGCCGCTTTTAGGCAGCACAGGAACACAGCCCCCGAGCCCCTAGACCCTAGGAAAGACCTAAGTACCTTCCCGGCGTCGAGAGTCCGCGCAGGCGCGCTCGGCTCTCTCGCCTTGGCCAGCGCGCAGGCGCGCCGACGCACCCCGGGCCGTCTTGCGCTTGAAAACATAGGGCTGCCGCGGGCCGCTTCTGCTTCCGGGTCACGGCTTGACAGCGGCTTCCCGGACCGAGCTCTGCCCACGGTTCGGTGAGTGCGGCCGTGGGTGGGTGCGGGACGGTGGGAAGCCGGGTCCCCAGCCGGGAGCCCCGCAGCCAGGAACGTCCCTGGCCACCCGCCAAGGGCTGCGGGCCTCCCCTTCCCGGCCTGGGCGGGTGGTGGGGGCGGGGACAAGTCGGTGTCAGCGCCCCGGGGTGCAGGCTGAGGCTCCCCGGGATTGCTGCGAGCCCCTGGGGTCTCCGCCGCCGCGAGGGACACCGCAGTCCTGGCATGGCGTGCCCTTGTCCCCCGGGCCCTGGGCTCCGCCAGGCCCAGCGGCCGCGAGCCTCCAGCAGCAGGTGTCATGGGGTTGGGTGTCCCCGTCCGGGTCGATGGTCCCTGTGGCGGCGAGGCCCAGGCCTGCCCAGAGCAGCAGCGGTGGCGTCTGCTGAGTGTCTTTCTGCGCTGCTGCTGCTGCTGCTGCTGCTGCTGCTTCTGCTTCTCCTTCTCCTTCTCCTTCTCCTTCTCCTTCTCCTTCTCCTTCTCCTTCTCCTTCTCCTTCTCCTTCTCCTTCTCCTTCTCC